TAGAGGTTTGGATATTATACTAGCTGAAAGTTTGAGCAACCTAGGTCCAAGAAAATCTATGCCAGTAGATTTGTTTATGTCAAGCCTCTTTAACATATCAAATACTTTTGTTTCATTACTCAAGGGAATTTCAAAAAAGTCTTGATCTCCAAGTTTTGTTTCAGTGTATCTTTTCAATTTTTCTGGTTCAAAACCAGAGAACGAAAGATTATTTAACAATGTTTTCGGAATTTGCGCAAAATGCTCATCTTCGTGATCGTAGTAAAAGCGCCGTTAGAGAGTAGGAACTTACCAAGTACGCTCATACAACGCTCCCTATACGTTCGCACTACGTTCTCACTGCGATCTCTCAACGTTCCTGAAGATCCTACGAAGACCTACAATGACCTACCGTCGATCATATCACGACCTATCAGACAGGAGTTTGTTTTCTTATAGCGCTGATATTTGACCAATCACCATCTGTAAACTACATGTTAAGGGTGACACTATACTTAACGATCAATTGCAATTGAGACTTTTCGCATCTTGTTACAGTTACAATTGAAAATGCCCGTAAACCATGTGGTAAAGGCCGCAAAAAAACTGCGGTCGCAAGATATGTATCATCGCTAAAATCGTACTACAAAATCTGCGGTTGCAAGATATATTTACATCATCGCCAAAATCGTACTAGAAGCGTAATGCAATCGTAATATGATCGGCACCACCATAGCGACATCGCTATAGTGTCATCTAGGTCTGTGTGTGTAGCGTCGTAGTATGGTCTTCAACGTAGTGGCAGCGTAGCGTAAACGCAGTAAGCACGGCCGCTTGTCGGCAACTGTCTGCGTGACATCGTAGTAGAAGCGTGTTGGCAGCGCGTTTGACGTAGGGACATCGTATTACAGTCGTAAAGAAGACCATAATTTGCCAAATTGCTCTATTTAGACGCCGATCGGTTGCGATCTGCCCCGATCCAAAAAAAATTCAGATCGTGGCTTGATCGGGATGATCGCCGTCGAGTCGCAGCTCTGTGTGAACGGGGGGTAAAAAATATTTTTGTGCATAATGCGCTCCATACTGAAGAGCTGTAGTCGCTTTTTTGTAAATGTTCACCCAACCGAAAATGTCCATTGATACGACTAGAATAATTTATTTATGGTATTATTTGTCCAAATGCACAACTCGTTGAGATAACGTTAACGTTACATTTGTAATATAAAATACATTATATTAGTTACATATATTACAATTCGGAATCTTGAAAACATTTTTATTTTTTAAAAATTTACGAAAAGGATTTAAGAATTTAAATGTGGGAAAAATTGACTTTAATACTTTGGCACATTTTAGATAATCTGAAATGTTTAACGTTTTCCATGGCTTTTTTAGCTCACCTGAGCCGAAGGCTCAAGTGAGCTTTTCTGATAATTATATGTCCGTTGTCTGTCGTAGTCGTCGATGTCGTCGTTGTTGTCGTAAACTTTTCACATTTTTGTCCTCTTCTCAAGAACCACTGAGCCAATTTCAACCAAACTTCCCACAAAGTATCCTTAGGTAAAGGGGATTCAAGTTTGTTCAAATGAAGGGCAAATAATGTAAAACCTGTTGTAAGATGCACATGACGGTGTTGATATTGTCTTGCTATTGATCAAAATATGTTGTTTGAATTTATAATTTATTTAAAGAAAAACATATGTTTCCTGCATTATTGGCATTTTTATCTGTCCCATAACATTTCGGTATCGTTTACAGTAACATTTGTAAAAGAATATTATGTAGATAAATGTAGAGAGGATTTTTTAAATAACCTTCATGCACCTTGACCAAAATAGAATGAAAGGCTAATCAAAAGTACATAAAATTTTAAGAAGTAAATTCTAATTCCAAAGAGGGTGTGGCTGTTCTTTTGTTATTTTTCCTAAATGTGTATCAGATTAAAATGGAAAAAGTAAATTACAGCAAATGATGTACACTTTTTTCAGTACAATCTATCGGATTCTTTGCTTTTTCAATAGGAATTCCACGTTGTTCTGAAAAGTGCCTCCTTGAAACAGAATAATTTTGATATGCACAAGGAGAAAAGAATTTCCTTCAAAGCTACAGTTCTCGATTTTTGTCTCAAAAAAGGCATATTTTTGAAAGACACAAAAAATTGATTAAAATTTTTAATCCATACGAAATGCAAATTGTGTACATGAAATAAAAAGAAGTTTCCAAGTGTCGGCAATGTTCTAGTGGATATGGCGGTGGACAGATTCTTTTGCTTGTATGGGAATGGGTTCGAATTTTGGAATGAGCCGTTTTTGCATACTTTATATTTCTTCAATTTTTTTCAAAATATAAAATGGAAGTGTAATGATATGTGTAATGAAATATCTTTTTTAAGATAGAGAGAGAGAGCAAATGTCAAGATGTTAATGAGCAATATTTCAAATGCATGCAGAATTTAATTTTTTCCTTGATACTGTAACCAAAAACTAATTACATTATGCTATCATTTAGTTAAGAGACGCTATCTAGGAAAATAAAGTATTTTGAAACAGTGTATTTTTTACATGGTTCACTAATTTTGATTCATTTTTTGGTCTGTTATTTAGAAGCCAAGATTTGATTTGAAACAAATAGAATACCAAGGATGTGGCTTCAGCAGTGTGTTTATGGGATATAATTCTATTACATATAATTTATAATTTTTTTATATTAACGCGTTATGTATACAGAATGTCTTTCAAAAATCTGTGCAAGGTGCACTGGCCAATGTGCTTTTAATTGTTCTAACCTTTCTCGAAAAAAAAGGTCGATAGTGACAAAAACATGTAAAGATAAATAAAATTTTTTAAAAAGTTAAAAAGTTAATGTTCGCTGAAAGTTCTATGTTATGAAAAACTAAAGATGAAATAGTCTAAAATGTGAATTGTTTTCCTATATCAAGCTGTAAATTCCCGCCGTAAACACAGTCATCTACGTACTAGATTTTTCTATATTTAGACATAGATTTATTCCTACATAGCCTTAACTTTGAAAAATCCTATGCCCACATAGCCAACATTTTGATTTTACTTCTCTGTAGTAAGCAGGGTATAGCCTGTTTTGCATGTATGAGTACTTATTACAGCATGTACATGCTTTACTTGAGAATAATGAAAATGAATAATTTTGAAAACGAAGTAGTGTAAAAAATATATTATAAAAAAAATTTTAAAGTCAGAATTCTTTCATATTTTATTAATTTATCAGACAAAGTTTCTCGAAATTAAACAGTTTTATGAAATTCCTATCATTTTGTTTTATGCTTTTATCTGTCACTTTTACCATGACAAATGCCCAAGTAACTTAAAAAAAGAACATTTCTACATTTAAGAAAAGTATTTTATGAACGAATTGAAAAATATAGATCTTCATAGCATAATGTGTTTTTATACCCCCTTGAAAAGTGGGAGGGTATATAGTTATCGGCATGTCCGTCCGCCTGTACGGCCGTCTGTCTGTTACGCTTTGGGGTACCCATCTCTTATCTGCAACTTCTCTTATACCAGTGAGTGAAATTTAATGAAACTTTTACAGAATCTTTTACTTTTAAACCCGACACATATTTTGGGTTTCCCGGCCACAGCAAAACATCGATTTTGGCATTATAACCATATGGGAAGCAGGGTAATCATTTAGTGAGCTCATTGCTCACAGTACCTCTAGTTTTAAATTATATTTTTGTTCTGATTAAAGTTAAGCAAGAATTTATTATAAATTAAAAAGAAAGCTAAAACTTTTTAATAAATATATTCAATGAATATTTGTTATAATAAATATATTAATTTTAAATCTTTTTTTCTATAAAATATCATGATTGTAGACCAAAAAAAGACCCTCAGATAGCCCAGAAATAGAATAAAATTGCTAATCTTTTTTTTATATATATATTAAAAAAAAGATTTTTTGTTTTGGTAACAGAGCCGAAAATCAATAAATAAATAAAATTTTTAATTCATCAGGTACATTACTGTATATAAAATATTTTATTAGGCTAATCTCTTAAAACATACCATAGCTTACCTGTTGTAAAATTCTTATGTCCAACATTTGCACCCCATTCCCATTCAGTCAACACAGATTTACCTGTCTTTTTTCCGTATATTTTAAAAATGTTGGCTAAGTTGGCTTAATGTGTTGCAATTATTTAATGTCCTTCTCGATATAAGGAATAATCGCAAGTTTCTGCAACATCGATATCTCTGTATTGTACTTTGATCAGAAATAATAAAAACAAAGAAATACATTATATTAATAGAGATCTACACAGGGAAACAAAAGTGGTAAAAGACGATGAAAATGAACTTGTCATAAATCCCCAAAAGACTCATTAGTCAATAATCATACATGAATGTAAAACTATGATACATATACATGCACATGTACATGTAACCCAGTATTCATTTCCTAATGGCCTCAAATAGCCTACAATATTTTTGCTAGATGGATAACCATCTTGTAACTTTTAAAATTTATGATAAAAAAAAACTGTTCAGAACCTAAAATTGCATTGAATGTTTTTCATGCCCCTCCCTCAACACACACATACACACAGATCCATCGTCCTTGGGGTGTAGTATTGGTGTAAAAATAATATGAAGTGGAACGATAAACAAACAAACATACACATACCTATAAATTACAAACTCACTTAAACTTTCGAATTAATTCTTTAATCAACGTTTTATCATAATAATATTCAGAGCTAATTTAGTGTAATAAAATGCTAATAGGCTAAAGAAATTGCGAAATTATTAATTTATTGCGCGCTAAGACAAAGATTACTTGTTTAAAGTAATATCGATATGTTCATGATGTTTATGGTCGAAAGATCGAAAGATCAACAAATAATTCAATGAAACGTCAAAAAATTCTGAAATTAATTTATATTGTGTCATAATGTTTTTTCCTTAAATTTCAATAAATTGACCGCTCATTGATTACAGGATTATATAAATATGATAAGATAGACATATATGTTTCATTCGACATACAGAAGAAAAATGTGGAAAATCTTGGTTCTCCTGGCTGTGTTTCTTGTAATACAAGGTACTATAATTTTAATGTTTCTAATAGAAATAGAGAGAAAAATTTACAAAAACATAAATTATGCCAGGTTAAACATGCATCTTGATAGTATCTTGACATCTTAAGAATTTTCGCTATGATATCTACTTTAATATTTTTTTTTAATTTTAAAGATACTGATGGTTTACGGTCGAGAAAAAGTGAGTATTATCAATGATTTTAAATATTCAAGAAAGAAAATATTTTTTTTTCTATACCAATTTTTTTTATGTTTAAAGCCGCTTGGTCCGATTCTAATCGCTAAAAATATATATTCGTTTTTCTTCTTGAAAAATAATTGTCCATAAATTGTTTCAACTTTTGTCAAATTATATCCCCAAAGTCTTTTTCTTTTAAAAGATATCAAAATTCAAAAGTTAAAAAAATAATTTTTGTTAGGTCACACAAAAAATAATCCTATGTTGATCATTGTTGATATCGCGTGAAATCACCTTTGAAAAATTAAATTTATCGCTTACATGTTTATCTCATGAAGAACAAACCCGAGCATTTTTTATCACAACAAAGTACATATATTACCTGTACACGGACAATATTTTAGCTCCTTTAAAAAATCATTTAAAATATCTGATTTTTCCTTTATTCTTTAAATATGCATATTAATATAAAAGTTACTATGGATTATATTCAATTAATTTCTTAATTTTGAAAAGATGTATTATGACTAAGGCTTCTACTAAAAAAAAAAATACACGGGTTTGAATTATCTTCATTATTAGATATATCCGATAAACTTATTTTTTTCAAAATTGACTTCACAACAGATCTTAGCTTCCGTCAGGAACTACTATTTGTCAGTAAGGTTTTTGATCTGCGTTTTCCATGTAAGGATTATTGTAATAAACTATTAAATCAATCTTATAATTTATTTCTATAGATTTTCTATGTAACGACGTACTTTTATTGTGTAAGATAATATGTGCCTGTTTCGGGTTAAGCGGCTTTAATTATTCTTTCTTTGATAAAAGATATCAAATTCTAAGACCAAAGATGTTGTATTGATTGCTGCAAATGACATGATTTGCATAATATTTTCCAAATAAATTAAGAATGAAAAAAAATTTTGATCTGCATATAAATGTTAATCCCTTCTTCTGAATCAAAGATACATAATTGCTTTCTTTCAAAAACCTAAAATCCGTCATATTTTCAATGATATTTTTCATCCCAATTAATAGGACTGTTTAAAGAGGTTGTGGGTGCCAGCCATTTTCAGACCATTTCGATCTCCTTTAAAAGAAGAGCTTTATATAAACATATACAAAAATGATCGAATTTTAAAACTAAAATGTATGATTTTTTTTTCTTTGCCGAATGATAGTTGACAGCTTAAGATACCGTATCTAAAAAAATAAGTTAAATCTTGTAGTTAATTTGTGGTTAATTTGTTGACCCCCAGCCTCCTTAATACAAAGTTTGACTACGAATTATTCCAACTATCCGATCAGTACATAGGGCTCGAAACGGGCGTTACATGTCGACAAGGGATGCCTATTCCTTCAAGGCACCTTATCCCTCACTTGAATTTTTACACTGGTCTATTTCTCGTTCTACCTGGATTCAGGCAAAAGATTAAACACTAGTTTAATGAAATCATGTACTTTCAAAATATAAGATCGTATGGAATAGCTCAGTAAAACGAGACAATTTTTATTTGAGCATCATTCCATTTAAAGTCCATAAGAGTCAGATAATACTTTTACATATGTGGTTGATATCCTACCAAAAGTCTATACAAGAGCTGAGAAAAATATATAGAAGCATGTGGAAAATTTGGAAATTAAAAATTATGTTTCAAAGAAGAAGTTAAACTTTTGTGGTAAATAAATGAAGATTTTACCCATATTCAACGACGAATTTACATAGTCAAGGCCAAGGGAAAAATCAATGAGATATTGCTCGAGAGGGAAAATATTTTATTGTTGCAAAAATTATGTAAAACTTACAATTACTAACTTGTTCAGATAATCAAAGAATTGTTATAAACCTGTTATTATATATCTTAATTGCATAATTTTCCTTAAAATAACAGAAAGGCATGTACACACAAAAACGGCATGTGAACATCGCCGAATGATCTTGAGCTGCGGAAAACATCGGTACATTCGAGTGTACTATGCTGCGTATGGTCGACAAAATTCGAAAACCTGTTCAAGAAAGTATGCCAGCCATTGTTCTACAAAATGTAAGTCCAGAAGATCCTACTTCGTGGTAAAAAGATTATGCAATGGAAAAAGTCGCTGCATCATTAAAGCCAGCAATTCCGTATTTGGAGATCCATGTAAAGGAACCTACAAATACCTTAGAGTGAGGTATCGCTGCAAAAGTAAGTAAGGTTTCTTTACACAGTTGAGTACATATCTAAGGAAGTGTAATAATTCTCTCCCTGGGTTCATTGTTCAAAAGGTTTTTTTTCTCAAAAGAATTATTGATAAAAGAGAACTACCTCCAGTAACGGCAATTGCCGATAAAGCGCCAAGGAAATTGTGCGTTTTGTAGGACTGCTTTAAGTAGTTATGACTATGATTTTTTTTCTTATTTCAAGTTGGTGTAAAAAGTCAGAGATAAATTGCAATGATTAAATTGATCTATCACATACAGAAGGAAAGGAAACGTATGGTTTAGAGAGCATTTTTTAATTTAAATGTAATCCTCAGTATAGAGCATTTAATTTGACAGAGAGACACTTTCATGGAAGAGACGTGAATGAAAAAGACAAAAGAGAGACTGAAGACATAATGTATACAGATGAAGATATGGAATAACTAAGTAACTCAAGTCTGAAATGGTGTTCTTAGTGTCCCTATATTAAAGCATATTATGAGAACATTTTGGTTGTTTCAGTTTTTCATTTGAAATATTTGGGAAGGTTGCAATAGGACAATTTCATTCCTCTAGATTCATTAATTACGAAGATGGATTTTTTATATACTTGTATTTGAAATGCACTTCAGGATATTGAACCTGTTTTATCCTAAAACTTGACTTTAAAATATGTAAGTATAGTGTATACGATCGTCTGTCATGTAGGAAATGATTTTGGTTTTTGGGCGACCAAATTTTCAAGAAGTCGAAACACAGGTCCAAATATTTTTTGCCATTATATTATACAAAAAGAAAACAAACGTTTAAACGTTTTCGACCACTCAATAATAACATATGACCTTTTATGCTTATCAACTAAAGCTATGTCCAATGGAATTGAAACATTAGTCCACATGTCTTAACAAAATGCAAACATAGTGCTACGTATATTTTTCATAACGTAAACCTTAACAATCGAACTAAGTAAAACAGGGTAAAGGATACCCTTCAAAAACCCAATTAACGAGGCTGGGGTGTGGCAGCCATTTTCAGACTATTTTTATCTCCTTTAAAAGGAGAGCTCCATATGAAGATATAGAAAATGATCAAATTTTAAAACTAAAATGTATGAATTTTTTCTTTGTGAAATGATAGTAGACAGCTTAAGTTACCGTATCTAAAAAAATAAGTTAAATCTGGTGGTTAATTTGTGATTAATTTGTTGACCCCCCAGCCTCCTTAAATAAATTCTAAAAAACTATACTCTACTTTTATTATAAAAAGACTCTTGTCTCAAGATAACACCGTAATACTTAAAGGTTAAATAAAAGCATGTTATTTGAACACATGCGGAGAGTAGACTTATCTATGGAGACTTATGTTTTTTTGAAACCTCAGTCAACTTAGAAAGTGACGCAGTACAAGCAGCTCATTTTATCTTAATGAAAATGGAGATCCCCCCATATGTCCCATGGTTATCGGGAGAAGGGGTTAAGTTATTAATAAGATGAAAGTAAAATTGGTCTAATATTAAAACAATATCTTATTTCCACACAAAAACGTTTTATCAATTATATCTAAATATCCTATGACTATAAACAAGCGTATACTAGTATAATATACGCGTAGACTTTGAATGTTATTAAATCGTATATCCTTTACAACAAATTACATAGCTGACCTTATGGAAATAAGCAAACAACTAAATGGAAAGTCATTGAATGACTTTTAGTTATTAATTCGGAGTTTAAATATTTTATTAAAAATTTATTTAATTGCAGAATCATTGCATAATTTTACGAGCTTGACGATGGGTATTTCATTATATTTATGGTTATCTGATGGTTTTCCTCATAAACACTTGGAGCAATTGTCCATGCCATTTCAAAATCTTATAATAAAAAGACACTGCATGGAATTTGTAGTACATGTATAACATTCTGAAACAAAAGATGTATTCGTCAAAATGATACATTAAGGATGTTTCTAACTATTCGGAGCTGTTCTGTGGCCATGATGCAGATACATGTAAATATGCTATGTCCTTCTGTATGTGTTTGCAGAAACAGGCAAGCAATCTCTAAAGATCATGAAGAATTCTTAGATTATATTCCTGGTCTTCCCGATGACACACAGATCCTTCAATTTATCAACTACGCTGTAAGAAGATTAACAAAAAAAGTATTACGTTTTTCAATATATCTCAGTTTCATCTAACAAATCTTGTTTTAATATTGAAAATTATTTCGTTGAGGGGGTTGATAAGCAAGCTTTGCTGATACTTATACATCTCTTGAAGCTCTATTTTAGTGACAACCAACCTCCTCCAAAGTCAAGTTCAAAGGGTCAAATTAATGTAATGCAAGGGAAGGCTTCATTAGAAGAAATCATATGCAAAATAAAAAACGCCCTTGTACCAATTTTTCAAATGTTATGGCGAATATTAAGAAAAGGTCAACATATTTGGTATCAAAAGGAATGTCTTGTCACTGGAAAGATACCTGTGAAATTTGAAAGCTGGATAGTTTTGACTGTTCAAAAGTAATTGCCGAGATTAAAGTTTTGTAAAAGCCTGTGCTAGATCCATTATGACGTCATAATTAATTTAATGTTATTTACTTTACAGCTCCAACAAAAATTGTAGAAATTGGGTCATATCTATCATGAAATTATGTGCATTCCGTTTCATAATTATTTTAGAATTATTCATGTATACTTTAATGGTTTGTGTTTGATTACAAATCTTCTATCAAATATGATCTTTTTAAATGGAAATATAAAAAAAATTGATAAATATTCGCATTGTAAACCTGAGAGTAACCCCAAACTTTCATCTAATAATCAAATCCTGTGTAAGTGCAAAAAGGTCAAGAAAAAGTAGCATTGGAAAATAACTTATCTCTGTAAGGGGATTTGTTTACAATCGGTAAGTTATCTAAAAAAAACATTGTCGTTGGTAAAAAATGTTCTTCGTCTTAACTCAAAATTTCCTAAGAATATGTATACATTTTGCGATTATGCCAAATTAAAATGCGCCGACAGAAATTTTTTTCATTATATTATTCCAATATGATTTATGTTTATCTACTTTTATAAAGTGTAATTCCATCAAAATCCGTTTTTATAAGAAAGATTGATTTTGTTCTATGATTTTCAAGGGTTCGTTGGAAAGAAAATGGCGCCCACAACATATCTCGTGATACCTCTCATCAGCAGACAAACGACCCACTTTGTGCATAAACCAATCAATATCACTGCAATTTATTATACATAGTGTTTTTGATTTGAGTTTTGATCTTTGAACAGTTCATCAATATTCCTATGTTTACTACATGTATATGGGACCATAAGAGTTGTAAATAAGTCGGCATATTTCATCCTAATGACTAGAATGCAAACGTCCTTACATCATGCTTTTCAAGTGTTAAATTTCATGAATTTTATATTGTTTGTGACATTTTATCTTTTTTTAGATATGGATTGTCTCAATTAAACATGGTCAACATACTTTTTCCAAATAGATTTAAATTATGTTACCGTCTCCTTGAGACGTCCGTGTATTTTTCGTCAAAAAGGTCCTTGAGGATTAGTTGTTTTTTTTAAAATTCAATTTCTTTGATAATTATTGGGCCAACATCATTTATTATTATCCTTCAGAATTATACAGTCAATCTGATTGGTTTAAAGCATGTCACGTGAGGTGAGACAATTCGTGATGTCTCCCTCACGCGCAGGGTGACAACTGTTGTCACCCTCCAGATGACAATGAAATAGCGTAAATGAGTAAGCAGGGTTACAACTGCGTTGTCGCCCTTTGAATGAAATTACAGTGGTTTAAGCGAGATAACTCTTATTTATGATTATACATGTAATATAGTATTACTAATATGCGGGATCGGTAAACAATAAATTCTAACGATGACGTCAGATCGAGTTGTCTGTTGACATATTTTAAAAGTATGGAATCAGAGCAGAGACAGAGACACAAAATTAAGGTTTAGTTACTATTTTCTACTCTGTCTAATTGATAATTAGATTCTTCAGGATAATAAAACTATTATGGACTGTTTAGACGGGAGACAGCAAGCGCCCGAGGGTGACAACCCTACTCAGACCTGATAACTGGTGATGTCTCCCGTCTAAACAGTCCATAATTGTATATTAAAACATCTGGTGAAGGGATATAACTTAAGGCTTGGATGCGGCACTTTAGACCATTGAGTAGTGAGAGATCTATTTCTCTGATAATTATTGGGACATCATTTATTTTAAAAACAGCTGGTGAAGGGCTAAAACTTAAGGCTTGAATGCGGCACTTTAGACCATTGAATAGTGAGAGATATATTTCGTGCCAGCGTCTCTTGCAACACTGGACCAAAGGTTTTATAGTTTCATTCGAAGACCTGGTCTCAACGTCCTGTAGAGGGATTTGAACTTGGAACTTAGAATTACTCCTTAGACTCCAAAACAAAATGCACGAGAACCAATGCACAATTCCAAGCCCTTAGTACATTGAATATGTGAGAGCAGGAAGCTGTTTTACTATGGTATTTATTTTGTAGAGTTATCCTTCATAGCATATTTTAAAAATTTGTATTGGTAGGTTAATATCTTTATCACTGTAAAGAGTAAAGTAACACTGATATGTTCATGATGTTTATGGCTGAAGGATTGACAAGTTGTTCAACGATTTGTCAAAAAAATCTACTTTTGATTCACACTGCGTTATCTTGCTTTTTTCATAAATCTTTCAGCGCATAACCGTGGGGAATGGTTGTGTATTAAGTTGAAACATTTTTAGGCTGTTGAGTTTTGTAAAATCTTTTGATTTCAAATTGTCTAAACGTTCCTTGGAATTTTTAAGTATCCACACCCCTTCTTGAATATATTGTTGCACAGTGCTCTTGAAGTTTCTCCTTCACTGCTGTTAATACCTTATTGAGGAGTAAAGAAAGATGCTTGGTTGAACATTTACTGGAACCCGCTTTGTATCTTTGTAAGGATTCTTATTAAGTTATGCAATTTAATATATGTATATTGTAGTTCAAAATCATTTTGGTTCTTTGGGATATTAAAAATATTCAGAACTAAGATATGATTTTGAAGAATTTCCTCCTTAGAAAGGAAACAATGAGTATAATTTGGATTACCACTTTTATAATTAAATTCAGTCAATTTCTTCTAAAATACAATGTATATCATGAGCCTTACAAACAAACACAATATTGTTATCTACTTTGACAGCAGGGACCAGTACGTACTGATCAGGTAATCTATCTTTTTCACCTCTGCGTTATTGAATACAGAAGGATAAATTATTTTCATATTGCCCCTCAATGTTTTATTACGCAAATTTTATCATTGATCTGACACCTTTAATCCATTCTGACAAAGTGTCAACGTCTTCTTTTTTATATCTGGCCCATCGGCTGCAACGGAATCCAGTATTTATGGAATTCCGACGCCAGATGAAGGATCAGGATTTTTAGGACCTTTTAAAATAATTGATCCGAGGTCCTCATTATTAA